CGATTATTTAAAAATAAAAACACAGAAATTATAGCGGCGCAAGGAAAAACCTGTCAATGCATCGGGGAATTATCATTAAACATACAGGTTAAAGATGAAAGCCTCAAAGTATTAATTTTTGTAGTAAAAAATTTGCAAAATCCACTTATTTTAGGTATGGAGTTTTTAAGGGCCGCGAGGGCCAAACTGAATTTTAAGGACAGTTCTATTGTGCTGGAGATGGACAGGAGGGTGGTGGAACCAGTGGAACAACCGCAAGTTGACCTTAGCCATTTGAATGACCATGAAAGTCAAGCCATCCAGCAAGTGGTGAGTACTTTTTCAAACTTGTTTTCAGAACGGCCTGGTAGCTGTCAAATAGTTACGCATGAGATACAGTTAACTGCCGACAAACCCTGTAGGACTAAACCTTATCGCTATGATAAACAGAAAGACCTAATCATAGAAGAACATATTCAGGAAATGTTAAAGAATCCAAATAATAACGCCCATAAATATTGAGTACGCGAGTCCAGTCGTACTATGTAGGAAAAAGAACGATCTAAAAGAACGAGTTTCCCTCCTTCAGGATAAAAGGGCTTGGAGGTTTGCTATCGATTACAGAAAACTCAATAGTATTACTAAATTTTCCCGGTTTACCCTTTGCCGGTTATAGAGGAAATTATTAGAAAGATTAAATCTACTAAATACATGACTACTTTGGACTTAACGTCTGGCTACTATCAAATAGCTATGAGACCCGAAGACATACATAAAACCGCGTTTATAACAAAATCGGGCACTTTTGCATTTTTACGCATGCCCTTTGGGTTGTGTGGGGTCCCGTCAACATTCCAGAGAGCTATGGACATTGTTCTAAAGCCTGTCCTAGGAAAATCGACTTTAATCTATCTAGATGATATAATTATAACGAGTAGTACGTTGGAACAACATATTAAAGATCTAGAAGAAGATTTTAAATTATTAAAAGAGGCCGGTCTTACAATTAAAGCCTCAAAATGCAAGTTCGCAACTAAAGAACTTAAATATCTGGGTTATAAAATTTCGCAAAAGGTTATAGAAACTCAAGATTCAAAAATAAAAGCAATCAAGAATTTCCCACCTCCCAGCACCGCCAAGAAACTTCCTTCTTTCCTTGGGTTATGTTCTTATTATCGGTCATTCATAAAAGATTTTGCTAATATTGTTGAACCCTTGTTAGTAATTAAAAGAAAGAAAAGTAAATTCACGTGGACAGCGGAAGCAAATACCGCATTTGAAAGATTAAAAGAAGCGCTAATCAATGCCCCTGTTTTGAAATTCCCGGAGGGGGACGAAAACCTGGAAATTGCAGCAGATGCGTCGGACTATGCTGTGGGTGCGGTTCTTATGCAAAATGGTCATCCTTTGGCATTTTTTAGTAAAACGTTGAATCATACACAAAGGAATTATACAGCTACAGAGAGAGAAACATTAGCCGTATTAATGGCTGTACACAAATTTCGAGTTTATTTCGGCAAAGCGCCAGTAACAGTCTTTTCGAATCATGCGGCTGTTGGTAGACTTTACTCGGGGAAAACCTAACGCCCAGGTTAATAAGATGGGCTTTCAAACTCCAAGAATATAATCTAATAATCAAATATAAACCGGGTAAGGAAAACAATGTAGCTGACGCACTTTCTCGTATAAAATCTGACGATGAAGGCAACGAACTTAAATGCGCTGTGTTGACTTCAAAAATTTTAGATTCTAGAGATACAATTATCGCTGAACTGAAAGCTGATCCTGAATTTGGAAGTATCTATGCTTATTTGAAAGACCCCGAAAGCTTTGAGCACACAGATATCGATACGATAAGAAATAGAGCAGAAAACTATGAAATAATAGATAATTTATTATTTTATACGAAAACAACAAACGAAAATCACGAGTACAAACCAGTCATCCCAGCCTCACTTCGATTAAGCATTTTGAAGGAATTACACGACGCGAAAACAGCGGGTCATTTAGGGGTCAGAAAGACTTTAAAAAGGGTACGCGAGGCGGTATATTTCCCGCAATTATACAAAATAGTAACTGCGTATGTCAGGTCCTGCAATCAATGTCAGTTAATAAATGATATTAATTACAGCCCGGCCGGGTACTTAAATAGCATTCGCGCTACATTTACGAATGAAATTTTAGGCATAGATCTTCTTGGTCCTTTCCCCCAGAGTGAGTTAAATAAAAATCGTTTTCTTTTAGTAATTGTAGATCATTTTTCAAAATGGACAGAAATTGTTCCACTTTAGATCTATGGGAGTGTATTCGGGACCATTCGCTAGTTCGTCAAATCGAGAGTGTTCGTAAAAAAGAGGTTCGTAAAAACGAACGTCTACTGTATACTTAAAGTATAGCTTATGAAAATTCCGGGGCGAAACAGAATAAGCGTATGAGTGGGTCGAAACAAAAAATGAGGGAAATCTTGGTGAGAGAGAACGTTCTCTTTGACCGCGGCTCTCTGCTGATGTAATTATCAAGGAGGTTAGAATAGAAGAAGGGAGGGTTCGCAGTTTCCTCCACTATCGGGGAATGAAACTCCACGGAACAAGCGGCGTCCATGTTTGTTACTTCAAAACATTGCAATACGGTAGTGAAACGTACGTGTTTGTAAGCTGTTCTATGCATGAATTTTCCAGTAAAAATATGTTAAATTTATAATGAAATGCTTCGCTATTGTTAGTTTTTTGTTTTAAAGTTATAAAGGTGATATCTGTAATTTACTAAGTACAGAAAATCATTAAGAAATATTTCGAAATCTAAATGCATGTGCATAACATTAAAGCCTTTACAAATTATGTTTCTGCATAATTTCAAGAATTTGTTTAGGTTTTATTAGCAACTTCTCTGGTATACTTTCCAATTGCTTCTTTAAGAAGTGATATATTCTTTTGATTTATTCGCAATATTATTATAATTTATTAAAGAATCATTTTTACCTGAAATTAATAGCAGATAATTATCTAAAAAAATGGTAACATGTTGCTTTTTTTTTAAATGAAAGTTTTAAATAGATTCTTTTCACAATCAACAACCTTATATCAACAAGAAAATAAATCTTAATAAAATAAAACAGATTTATGTGAATTCAATGATTTCAGTTTATGCGCGTTTCATATTTATGAATCTCAAAGAAATTACCTTGAATTAAACTGAATTACAGAAATATACCTATATAAATTTTTGGATATATCTTTTCACATGTTCAATTGTGTAAATATTTTACTTACGTTTATCGCTATACTGCTCAGAAATTTGTCAGCTTATGCAAAAACATTTTAACAACAGAACAGTTTATCTTGATCAAATGCACAAATTATATTCGTAACAGTTCACAGAACTTAAGAATGAATAATAATTAATACATAAGGAAAAGCGTTGCTTTATTTAACACCTTTACAATTCATAAAAATAGCAACAATTAATTTCTTACTTTTCATGAAAATTATAAAACGAATTATCTAAGCGTTCAAATTATACAGCAAGCATATAATCCTAGCATATATCATTGTATGTTAAGGAACGAAGATACCAGCTGTAAGCAAAAGCATTAAAATGTATTGTATTTAACATGTTTCGATTATTATTAAGTCTTTTTTGTCACATCTGGAAAGAAAACAACATGACATTGTGACATTTTTTTAACATATTTATGAAATTACATAAAAAAAAAAAAAGAAAATACTTACGAGTGAACAGTAATCCCAGAAATATTTTTCGAAAATCTATTTGTGCATCCATATGCAATATAAGCAGACATGCTTCAAAAAGAAAAGGTAAAAAAAAAAAAAAAAAAAAAAAAATGTTACAATTACAGACTTTCTTGCACAAGTCACAGTGATAAAGGTAACATGGCCGCCAAGCTTCACCGTTTGAGTTGAACCTTCCCTCCTTCTATTCTAACCTCCTTGGTAATTATAGCCATGTATGTCAGCGGTAAAATGAGTTCTGAATTTGACTCCTAAGGCGGAATGTAAAGTTGCTGGTTACGCTGCTCCCCCTCCCCATTAGTGGGTACTGTGGGAAGACGATGTATAGGACGTGTTTGAGCAGTTTATCTCAGTATTTCACTTTTATTGTACTCACTGTCACTTAACGCACATTTAAGAACACAAATTTACCTTCCTGCGAGAATAACTAACTGTAAGCATCGATAATAATACACTAGATGCAATGGCATGGCGAGAAATTTACGTGTTCCTAAACAAACTCCCCCAAATTTATTGCTTTCTTAGAGGGAAAGGTTTCCGCATGTGAGTGAGGGGACTTTACTTGAAAGTCTCATGTTCTCATGAGTTCGTATTTCTAGGGAAATAGAGTATTGCAAGGTCTGCTTATTGTTAAATTAAAACGTTAGGAATTCTAATTTTTTTCCCTTTAAATTGTGGTTCAGTTTTATAAAAAGAAGTACCGGAGCTCATCTTATTTAGGGCTCCGGTGCGCTCAGGCTAAAATTGTAATTTATCTTAAGGGCTCCCGTGGGCTTCGGCGTAATTCAAGCATTGTTTTACATCCAGTCCTTCTCCAGGATTCGAATCCGGGCGCTTTGGTATCGAAGTCAGGCTCCCCTAACCACTATACCGTCTGCGCGGCTGATATATCTGTGTTAAAATCATTTTTCTGTCTTAAAATCTTTCTTTACCATAGCGAATTCTTCCTTCTTTTTTTGCTAAAAAGAGCAACTATTCTTTTTTTTTATTTAGTTATTTAATAATTTGTGATTTACTGTAACGTATTTTTTTAATATTATTTAATTAAATTCGGGATTTAATAAATTCCACCAAAATGATGATAAATCCTTTTTAATATTAAGTCAATCAATTATTTTCTATTCCTTTTATCCATTATTTTTATGACAATGGTTGAAAGTCGATAAACTGTGAATAGTGTAGAAAATGTTAAAAATATATGTTGTTTGTCTATTTGTTTAGAGTTATTTGCAAGCCAATTGCAAAACTAAAACTATCCACCGTCATCTGCACTTAGGTAGGGTAATTTGACCCGTCGAACGAACAGAAATGGATTGCGACTGAGGAAAGTACGTGCGTATTTATCTCAAAAATAAAAATCACATGTATGATATGTAAACAATCGAAGGAGATTTTGTGCTTTGGGACTTATAATGCTTTATTTAAGTAAGTAATTTTTTAGAATAAATGCTTTGAATGTTATCTTAACAGCAGGAGGTAACATGATGCTAAAGTAAGATCGTAAACAGTCATCCTTGCATTTTCCCATCGAGTTTTCGGTGCGTTAGATAAAATAATGTGATGAGATATATATGTTTCTTGATTGAACAAAATCTCTGTATTTCTGGTATAAAAACAATTTTTCAGTTGCAAAATATTTTCTTAGTTTGGTTGGTGTTAAAAAAGCATCATTGTCACGTATTTGTAGTAATGCAAATTTAGTCAACAGTTTATGTTAAAATTTCTAGAAAAGCTTTCATTTTACGAATTTATTGAAACTACTTCAGTGCAATATTTTCAGATAGACAACTGAATAATTATCATTTTAATATAGCGTGTCAGTAATGATAATTTTAGTTCGAGTAAAAGAAATTATGTAACTTACTTATGTGGAAGTAAAGTGCTTTTTTCTCTTGCCTCCCCTCCCCTCAGTACTAAAATCATACATTGCGTAGTATCAAAAACATAAATTAGATAAATCAAGTTTGGATCAATTATAAATGTCTTCAGTGATACCATTATTTTGAAATAACATTTTTAATTTGATGTAATTATTTAGCATCTCATTTTTATAATACTCATTCTTTTCTCTCTTTATATATATGTGTGTACTCTCTGCATAGGATGCATTTGATTTGAAGTAAATTGATGATGATTTATCAATATCATTTTTCTATGCCTTGTATTACTAAGTTATTTGTCTTGATGGTGGAAGCATAAATTATTTGCAAATTATTCCTGCATATTATGTACCTATGAACCCACCTGTGGTATTATATCATGTCCTGTAACCTTTAAATTATACTTTAAATTTAAATGCTACTTTTAAATATCCTTTAAATTGTATATACTTTTATTATATATTTTAATATTCAAATTGTATGTATTATTTCACAAACTTATACAGATGCAAAACTTATAAAAGTAAAAATTATGTGAAAAATTTACATTCTAGCTAAGTATGCCCTAAAATATACTCACTTCAACAGCTAATAACTTGTTTAATTAATTCAAAATAATGGTTAAAGCTAGACTAAACTCTGTACTAAGAAAGAGTAGTTAAGTCTAAAAACAATGTTAGAATGCAAAGCCAATTTAGAGAGAGAGTTTCAAACAGATTTATTAGTACAACTTTATCATTTGAAATAGAGATGAATTTGAATCTGAGGAAAATGCCCAGAATGTCCACAAGAAAATTTCTGGAACATTGTGGACATCACAGATCTTGCATGGCAAAGAAGATTAATGAAAATGTGTTGCTGGAATCCGTTAAACCTGCGCAGTAAGTTGGTCATGAGATAAAAATTTAAAAATTATATATCCATTGCATTTTGAAATGTTGTCATTGGGAATGTTAAAATCCAAGAATAACCCGTGCTGTTTAAGATGATGATCGAGATTGGAAAGTCCAGTTTTGTGAAAGGTACTTGACAAGATATAAAGCATATACAGTTCTATGAAAACTGTTTGGAGCAGTAGAACTATATTTAAATTAAATGTCTGTATTAACTATTTCTATTAAATTTTAGAAACAAATTGTATGTTAATATACATTGAGGCTCTAGGGTAGAATTGGGTGCCCCTTTGATTAACAATAAATTTTAAAAAAAAATTTGGTGATGAAACCTCATTTCTGGTTACCAACATTGACTTTAAAATTATTCTAAGTGTGTACATATTTTTTTCAGGACACATTGTGTTCTGACTGAGGTTATTATATTAGAGGTTGTTAAATTTAATTTAATTGTGAGTATGTCTTGATTGTGATAAAATTTTACTTTAAGGGTTAATCTTGGGATTATGGTAACTTGGCGAACAACCCTGCTACAGCAACCTGCTAGTTTTGTTTTGGACACCATTTTGTTTTCATGAAGTAAAGGCATGTCTTTTTTTTTAACTGAACATTTTTTCCAACAATCTTCTAGCCGAGTTACGCTTATACTAGAACTTTTATGGAAAAAAAATTCTTAATCATGACGAAGGTTAGGTGCGAAATTGGAAGAAAGTGGCCACTGTTTGCTGCGTTTTTAAGAATTGCACATACACGGTTTCCATGTACACGTCGTCGACCTATTTTCACTTAAAAAAAATCCCAGAATTGCACAAAAATGGCATTGCACACACTCTTGACTTTATCCATGTACACTGCGAAAGTCCTAGCTAGTAACCTTTATCGCCTTACCAAAATGTCGCCAAACTACCTGTTACCATATTCCAAAGATCAGCCACTTTAAGCCCTCAGTTTTGTGTATTTCATATGAAAGTGTAGAAATATCATATATAAGTTTCTTTAATACTTCATCTTAAATACTGTTGTGGCTTTTGAATACAATAATTACATAAACATATTTTAATTATAAATTGTTTCAAATTTTTACTCTTATCTTATATAGATCACAAAACACACTTGTATTTAAGAGCTTATCACTTAGAAGTATTTTTTCTAAAATATCTTTTTGAAACTTATCATTTTGTTATAAAGATAAATTTATTCTGCATAAAATTATACCAACAATATGGTCACTACTATAGGAAAATAAAAATATTGTTTTTAAAATTTTTACAATTGTGAATTTCATGTTGGTCACATAACAAAGAATTTTTAATTGTATAAGCTGAGACTAGAATACATATAATTTAAAATTTTCATGCATTTATCTGTTATTGTAATTAAGGAGTCGATATAAATAATATAATTTAGTAATTGCATAATAAAATTTGATAATGCAAACTTTAAATAAATGTTTGGGAAAAAAGCATGCAACTTTCATTGCAGTGTAAAAAATATATTTGCACTTAAAGAGGCCCTGTAAAGAGGACATTGCACAGCAAGCATTTACTTCTAATAAAATTTGAGACAAAAATGTCAGAAAATTATTCAAGGAACATAATTTGGAGATTTGTCCCGGGTATTATGTTGGTACTATTCTGACTCTAAAAACAAATACCAAATTTATATGCACGAAATTTCAGATATTTTGATGTAAATAAAAAGTTACATATTGCTTCATCTAATAAAAATTTTTAGATCTTTCATGATATTTTTGAAAGAGCTTTTGCTTTTCCATTTTGATGTGGATTTCTTAACTTTAACTGTCACAAAAAATCCTGTAATGTTCAAACATATTGCCAGGCTGATGAAAATGTTACCAAGCATTTAAAGCAGGACTATGATCTGTGCTAGTCTTATTTTCTGTGCCACTTTATTGTTTGTTTAAAAGATGAGTCTAAGAGAGTTTCTTATACATCAATTTTCAATCTGTAAGTGATTGTGTTTGCTGAAGGCTCTAATAACAGTTTGGGTACTTGGCTTTTTCCCATAGATAGAAAACAAGTTAGAGTAGAGAAAGCTGGGCACAAATTTTGCCAACATCTGTTTTTTTTATTGTGGCGTTGATGTAACAAACCAACATTGCAATCATTTTGAAAAAGAAAACGACTCATTTTCATGAAATGAATAATTCATTTAAATTAAAATTAATTTTTTTATAAACTTAGGAATAAAAATGTGCAATATTTAATGACTTTCTGTTGCACTCGGTGAACGGAAAATTACCTATATTTTTCGTTAGATTAGTGGATCCATATCTAAGCTAACCCCCGTAATTTAGCTTTAGAAAAAGTTCTAAAAATTCTTGGCTTATACATGGAAATATATGGCGTATATGTATATTAATGAACTAATTATAATATATCTGTTAATGAATTAGTGGTGCTCATATAGCTTGTGGCCCACCTGTCCGTTTTTATCATAATAGAGACTGAGGTTGATCTTTACATTATGGTAACTTGGCGTTTTTTTGGCGACATTTGGCGACCAACTCTCCTACAGCAACCCTGTATTTTTTTTTCCCGCCGCCATTTTGTCTTCACGAAGTAAAGACATGTTTCTTTTCTTTTTATCTACTGAACACTTCTTCCAACAATCTACTAGCCGAATTACACTTATGCTAGAAATTTTATCTAACAAAACTGCTTAATCATGACAAATATTCACTGCAAAATTGGGAAAAAGTGCACAATACCATACTCCTTACGCGTTTTTCAAAATAACACATACACATAAACCATGTACACGCCAACTTATTTTTACTTAAAAAAACATTCCAGAATTGCAAAAAATGGCATTGCGCACACTCTTCACTATATCCATGTACACTGCTTTTTTCTCATAAATTAGAAAAACTTCACGAAAATACATGACAATTTTCTCAATCTTTAAACCCGGTAAAAAGAACATATATGAAATTACCTGATCGCGAAAAAGTATTTACCCTTTCCAAATATGAACATTTCCACATATAAAATAAATAAATATCCAAAAACTTTTTACCTCTAAAATCATCTATTACATTATAACACGTCACCAACGAATTCATACCGCAAGCATTACAAATACTTAGTATCAAATATTTAAATTATTTCCATGCACATTTACTTCAACTTAAACGTGTACCAAATTCCTACAAACATAAAATTCACAAAATAACTATCATTTAATTAAAATATCACTAAACCATGTACACGTCGACTTATTTTTACTTAAAAAAAATCCCAGAATTGCACAAAAATGGCATTGCGCACACTCTTCATTATATCCATGTACACTGCTTTTTTCTCATAAATTAGAAAAATTTCACGAAAATACATGACAATTTTCTCAATCTTTAAACCCGGTAAAAAGAACATATATGAAATTACCTGATTGCGAAAAAGTATTTACCCTTTCCAAATATGAACATTTCCACATATAAAATAAATAATAAAATATCCAAAAACTTTTACCTCTAAATCATCTATTACATTATACACGTCACCAACGAATTCATACCGCAAGCATTACAAATACTTAGTATCAAATATTTAAATTATTTCCATGCACATTTACTTCAACTTAAACGTATTTGTACCAATTCCTACACATAAAATTCACAAAATAACTATCA